ATTATGGTAACTTAATTTGAGCTCCTTAACTCCCTATATTACCCCAGTTTCCATTTCATTTTCGATTTTCTTTTCCATTTGATTCTCCATTATAGGGTAACCCTAAACCCTAAACAGCAACCCAGCTTCTCCAAGTGGATGGTGTCAATCATGGGGATCCCCGCGCGTTCGCATGCTTTCATGTAGCGCGACTTGTGCAGAATCCACTCGTAGTAGTCCCACACAGGGTGGTGCCGAAAGTTCCTGGTCGTGCATTAAGCCCCGAGAACCCGGGGAGACAAATGCTCTGTTGATGCCTAATCTCCTCTGCGATGCATTGAGGATGTTTAAAGAAACTGCCCGAAGCACTCCCCAGATCTATACATGGAGAAGTTTGAATCTTTTTCTCTGCCTAACCCCGGATGACTTTCAAAAAGATACCCAAAGGACAACCCAGCTTCGCATTTTTCTGGATCTTTTGCAACCTCCGCGCCAGCTTTGGCTTTTCATTCATCAGGGCAATGCTCATGTCACCCCAGAAGTTAAAGGTCAGGTGATTTCTGGAGAGTCGCTTCTCCGTCACCTGATTTGGCATCCAGGATTTGCGCGAGGATTCAAGGATTAGGGATTCAGCCCTAAACCCTAAAACCTAAACCCTAAAGGCCTTTTGGGCTTGGAGGGCTTAGGGACGAGAGTGGCTCTGTCATGTGTAACCTCTCCATTTCTCTACCATGAACCATGATCCCAACTCTAAAGGTCCTGCGAGGCATGTATGACGTCTGCGACTTCATACCCCAGCATCTACTCCAGGATGTGGGCGTGGTCTAAGAAACAAGGTGACCGTGTTGTACTGCTGAGGTGTGTACCCCTCCTCAGGGGAAATCTTTAGATTTGAGAAGCAGATGGGAAAATCATACTTACCACTGCACGATCGCTCCGATCATCCCGTATCAGCAACATCTTTTGACCACTCGCCTGCTCCATGGTCATGAAGTCCACGTGGAAGATGTCGGGATGCAATCGCATGATCTTCAGACCTGGCGAAAGGTCTTGCAAAGCTGTGTCAACTCTGCGGCAGCTTGCTTCATACTATGTACCTCATACCTTGCAAATTATGGCATTCTAGTGTAATTACTAAGGTGATGCATCATGGGTAGAATCAAAAACTATAGGAGCAGCTTTAAGTTTCCAGGGCCTGAGCGTCAGCAAGTACATTGTCTAGCCGATTCTAGCCTTCTTTTTCCTGGGTGGACAGAACCTAGGACCACGATCATAAATCACTACAATGCTTAGAAATGGGTCAAGGAGATTGCACGCATGGAGTGCATCCTCTCCACACAGATGCTAGAACTCACAGCTTTCACTGTCATATACTTTTCGGTTCTTGCAACATTCGTCTTCCCTCCGCAATGATCACCAAAATTAAGCTGCAGCCGCCAAAATTGCAGAAGGGATTGTCGTGGGGACTGTTGTTTTTTCCATTCTGAACTCTAAGTCTCCCAAGCTTCCTGGGGGTTAAGTGGGAAATGAGGAATTTCAGTAGAATCCTTATATAATCCCATATAATATGTTCTCATATGCCCTACCAAGCCCAAGTAAGCTAACAGCTAATGGCGACAGTTGGCCTGTCGACACGTCGGCCATGAACTGGCCACCCCAGCCATCTGCATTGGGGCCCGTGTTGTTCTTGATTTTCAGGTGCTCCTGCAGCTGAAGTCTCTTTCATAATCCCGCATGGGGGCTTTCTCAAAAGGAGGATACCCTTTGGGCACTCCAGGCACATGTCGGGATTGTCCGCTATGCGGGTTACTTTTCAGGGCTTTCAGGGCTTGCGTAGGTCTTGTTTGCCCACAAGACTTGTGGTTTCTTTGGTGTTTGAACCCAGTTAGAATATACCCTTTGTGCAAAATATCAAGTACTATACTCAAAAGGAGGATATAACCTTGCTCTATATAGGATAGCAAAGTGTCCCCAAATACAAAAACTGCTCACAATGTACTTAATTTTCCATTTCATTGTCCATTTTCTTTTCCATTTGATTCTCCATTATAGTAACCATAGGTATACTTTAAATAGTAGTTTCCATTTTCTTTTCCATTATCCCTTTTTAACCCTA